AAAAACTATGCTAGGCATAATCCTTGGGCACATTTCATGGCTTGACTTGGGCTAGCATTAATTTATATTAATTCTCATTTTTTCCTTTCTTAGCTCATTTGGTTGTGTATAAATAGGTGCTAGTTCATTTTTGTAGTATCATTTGAAGAAGTATAACAATACAAACTTCTTTGAGTTCTTCTCTTGTCGTGTCTTGTTTGCTTTTTTGTTTATTTTTTGAGTTTTGATTCATGTACAACTTGTCACAGGAGAAATTTTCCTATGCCAATGCCAGACATCTCAGGGAAGGATAACAACATTTCCAATTTTTCATATTGACTTTCTTCGAGAATTCATGATGACGACTCCAACCGGAGAAGAAGAAGAAAGAATTGAAGAAGAAAAAAAAGAAGAATAAAAGGAAAACATAGAAGAATGAAGAGGAAGGAGAAAGAATGAGAATAAAATGAAAACAGAGAAGAAGGAAGAAAAAGGCAATGAAGAAGAAACGAAAAAGAGAGAGAAAAATGAAGAAGAAGATAAAAACAAAGAAGAACGAATAGAGAAGATGAAAACGAAGAAGAAGAGAATGAAAAAGGAAGAGGAATAATGAAATAAAGAGAAAAAGAATAAAGAAGAAGAAAGAAGAAAATAAAATGTTAAATTTGATTTTACAATTTTTAAATATATATTTTAATTTAAATGATTATATATTAATAAAAAATCATAATATTAATTAAAAGAAATTTAATTATGTGAATGGATTTATAAACTTTTGATCGTAATAATAGTTAACAACATTATTATATAAAATACCTTTGAATTTTTTAAAATTCATAGTACCAATTCAAAAACTTCCGATATAATTAATAAATATTACTCCATCAATCATGTTTTAAACCAGAGACAAAATATTTAAGGTACTAAGTTTAATAAGTTAATGTGTATTATAATATTATTTTATTATTTTTGTGTGAGTAGTATTTAGTAATTTTAAAATAAGAAATAGTTTATTAAAAAAATTAAAATATGTATTTAAATACTTTAAAAATTATATTTCATAATAATATACTACGTATGTCCAATTACAAAATAAATATTTCATTAATACTTCATTTTATTCCACAGATATCATTACTTTACATCACATCATTACTTTTACACAGGGTAAAAATATCATTATACTACTTTTAACTATCCATTATAATTAAAATACCATTATTTCTTAAATACCGCATCAAAACTAATTGTATACTTTATGTGTGGACGGATGGAGTATTTAATATGAATATTATTTTTTAAATAATAAAATTTTATATAATACAAATAAATAATAAAATATATTTATTTATTTATGATTAACATAAATTAATTTTATATAAAATAAAGAGTTTTACTTTTTTTTAAAAACGAAATATTAAAAAGAGAGATTGCAATCGCGAGGTTTTGAATAAGACTTATATAATGTATAATGTACATGTTTTTTTAAATTAATTAAGTTTATTTATATTTATTAAAATGTTTGGATCAGGTGCTGAAACCGGCTGAATACCTTCAAAATAATAATTACAATTTATATTATAAATTATATTATTAATTTAATTAAGATGATTAAGAATTAATGCATTTAACATAGGACCCAATCTATACCGTTTGTTAAATATATTTCGAATAAGTGTAATTTACTAAAAATAAAAACTTAAGTTAAGTGAAATTGACAAAAGAGAAAAATGTGTCAATTAATTTGAGATCCATAAAGTATTATTTTAATATATCTTTGACGGGGAATAAACCCAAAACTTTTTAAAGTCATTCAAATATAATATTTTAGAGAGCTTTGGAATTTTTGAGACTTGCAACATTTCTTTCAAATGGACACAAAATATTTGTATTTATATATATAATATTATATTCAAGAGAACTTTAGAATTTTTGAAACTCATAAATAGCTTTGGAATGGACTCGAAATTTTATATTTTTTAAATATTAAAATTATTACATATAATAATGTTCGGAAATTTCGAGATCCATTCAGTAGAGTTTTGAAATATTCGAGTCTTAAAGCACCGGTTTTGGAATGAACTCGGAATTTCGGTATTTATTAACTATTAAAAATATTAAATATAATAAAATTTTGGAATTTCAGAGTCCTAAACACTAGCTTCAGAATGGAGTCCAGACTTTCAAAGTTATTTCATTTAATACTATTTAAAATGTATTATCATAGTATCATAATAGTTTTCAAACTTATTTTCGAAGGTAATTGCCATTTTTCTGGTAATTCATCTATGCATAGAAGATTTGAACTATGATGCTAAAATAAAATGTTTGTATGAATATCTAGGAATGATCTACCTTCGGGTTCTTTACACCATCCTTAGGGTCCTCTTCTATGAACAAAGTCTCGATTCGATCAACCCAAAAAAAATAGAGCTCAATAAAGTAAATTCTAGTTCCTCTAAAAAGATCCTTTAGAATAGGATCACGAAAAAGATTAAAAATTTAACAAACATCTTGAAAAAATTGATTACATCCTAGATATTTTTTTGATGACGCGGGAATCCGCAGTCGTACCTAATACCCTGAAAATTAGGCCCGACATGCAAGTCACACTAGATGAACCATATGTGGCGGGTGACTTAAGGCGTCGGGGTCACGGTCACACGTCCAACCCCCACACCATCGGGCATCCTTTACGGGACTGACCAAGATTTATTTTGCTAGGGTGCTATGAAGTGCAAGTGAGAGTGACACTATAAGTAGGAAAGAAATTCACTCACGGTAAAAAATATTATTATAAAATTGGACCCAAACTTGGATTTGGTCCCGACATATTAAAATTTATGTATTTCGTTAAAAAATGTTACTTCCTCCATTCCACTTACTATGTCCACATTTCTATTTCTGTTTCTCCCATTTATTCTTTCACTTTTCCGTTTTTGGAAAACAATTATACACTTTAATTTTATTTTTAAAATTTTAATTTATAATATTTTTTAATTTTAATTAGACTAACTAGTTATGTTAATCTCAATTTAAAATTATTTTTATTATACGAAAATTATTTTTACTAATACATTTTAATTATTTATTAATTATATCCCTCAAATTTCTGTGTCTACGGTAAAAGAAATGCAGTAGCCGGAACGGAGGGAGTATAATAAAATGATAAATAAAATTAAACTCAAAAAATAATTTTAATATAATTTATATTGTTGAAAAAAAAATTCATATATATAATTCATATGTTATTAATATATTAATCGGATCTGGTCCGGGTCTGAATAGAGTCAACCCCCTAGATTTAAGATTCAATCTTGACCCGATAAGATTATACAATACTTGATTCATATCCAATTCGAGATCCGGATAATTGAACTCGATCTCATATTCATTGATCGGATTCGATTCGGATATCGGACATACATGAACCCATTGCCATCCTGATATATATTTGATATTTAAAATATGATATAATATATAATTATTACAATTTATATTCATTAGTAGTTGAAAGTGAGAAATTAATTGATTATTTTTATTTTATTTTCATATTATTTATTAAAAGTTTTTAAAAAACATCACATTTAATTTTAATTTTTAATTGAAAAAATATTAAAAATATGTTTTTGTTATGTATGAATTTTATAATTAGGTTAAAAGACGCAAGCTTGAAGGAGATGTGAGCCTATAATTGGGTCCGTTAGACTAATTAAAAGGTGTTTCAAGATAATCGGTTGAAACGGACGTCCTTCTAAGGAAATAGGCAAGTTAGATGGTCCGCAGGTCGGATGGTCTGCGAGTCGGATGGTCCACAGGTCGGATGGTCCGCAAGTCGGATGGTCTGCGAGTCGGACGGTCCACAGGTCGGATGGTCCGCAAGTCGGTCTGCGAGTCGGACAGTTCACAGGTCGGATGGTCCGCAAGTCGGATGGTCCGCAAGTCGGATGGTCCGCGGGTCGGACGGTTCGCAAGTCGGAAGGTCCGCGGTCGGACAGGCAGGTCGGTTGGTTCGAGGTAGGATAAGTAAGTCGAAAGGTCCGCGATCGGACAAGCAGGTTGGTTGATCCGCAGTCGGATAAGCAAGTCGGAAGGTCCGCGGTCGGATAAGCAGGTCGGTTGGTTCGAGGTTGGATAAGTAAGTCGGAAGGTCCGCGGTTGGACAGGCAGGTCGGTTGATCCGCAGTCGGATAAGTAAGTCGGAAGGTCCGCGGTCGGATAAGCAGGTCGGTTGGTTCGAAGTCGGATAAGTAAATCGGAAGGTCCGCAGTCGGACAGGAAGGTCGGTTGGTTCACAATCGGATAAGAAGGTCGGAAGGGCCATGGTCGGACAGATAGGTCGATTGGTCTGCGGTCGGATGAGCAAGTCGGCTGCTGTGGAGGTCGGATGCTGCGGAGATTGAGTGAGAACAGTAGCTTGGTCGGTTGGATTATGCGGTTGGTAAGACGGTTGAGAACACGTGTTAGCAAAGGAGGAATTAGTAGACGGGGATCATCCTTTAATTTTTCAGTCTGTAGCATTTATTTTTCAGTTTACTTATGTACCTTACAGTGTTTGGAGATTCTTAATTTCAGACACTAATTATATCAAATTCGGAGATTCTTAATTTCAAACACTAATTATATCAAATTCGGAGATAATTTCTTATTTTCGAATTTTACTTTTTTATTATTGAAAAAATACATCAAACAGTTTTATATTGAATAATCTCCACATTTATTTGTATTACCATATATATCTATTTTCCATTCAAAAATCTAACATTAATAACATATCAAATTATTCCAAAAATGACCGAAACAAACTTCAAAGAAAATCTTGGCTGCAATATTATCTCTCACACGCAGCAACTTGATAATAATAACAATAATAATAATAATAATAATAATAATAAATTCAGGAGCATCGATTGTATCATTGGCTGGATTGTTTCCGGGAATTAATTAATTAATTAAATTTCTGTATTTAGCAACAACTACGGTCTATGCGCTGTTTGCGGAAGGGCAGTGCGAGTGGCGAATCCGCCGCTATAAAAGGGAGACTCACCTCACCAACCCCGCCCCACCCTGCAACCTATAATCAACTATCCATCCGCTTTTGTATCGACATTTGGGAGAGGAAAAGGGGAAGAGCCAAGGAGACACCACACAACACCGAGAAAAAGAGTTTGCAGTCTTCTGAAAATGTCTCTGCTATCAGATCTCATCAATCTCGATCTCACCGATTCCACAAACAAGATCATTGCTGAATATGTTTGGTCTGTTGTTTTCCGTGCTTTCTCTAAATCTTAAATTTATTATTATTATTTTTTGTGTTGGTACCGCTTACTCTCTGCTCTGCTCGTTGTTTTAAGATTTTGCTTTGTTCTGGGAAAGAGCTTTGATTGCTGTCCATGATGTTCATGATGTTATGTTCACTTTTCGAAATTTCTTATTATAGACTTTTCCACACGCCGTAGATAGCTAGATCAGTTGTCGTTTTGAAGTTTTTGTAGTGTTAAGTCGACGATCGGATATCAACTTTTGGAATCTTTTTTGTTTTCGTCTTTTCTCTTTTTCCCCGTTTTTTTATTTTTTATTTTTTATTTTTTTCTGTTATGAAGAAAGGATCAGATGTTTGGAACTATGGCTTGTTAGATCCTTCCGTCAAGGTCACACTGATTTCTGTTGCGTAGATTTTAGCTTGGTTTGTTCATGTTTGGTTTCATCTGCTCGCTGTCGCTGTTTCTCTAGTGTAGATCTGCACTTTTTGGTTGTTTGTTATAACATATTTTCACTTTTTCCTTTTTGCAGTTTTGTATGCATATATTTATTGCATCTGAACAATTAGTAACCCGCGAAGCCAAAAAGATTATATTTCATATTCTCGATGTGCTTATCATACAGCAAATTGTGTCGCCAATAAAACTTAGCTTTTATTAGTTCACCTGTATTCTCATTGTATTTTGCCCCGGCTTCGATAGATTTAGACTTTGCTGCTTTATCTTGTTGGTTGACCTATCAATTTCTGAAGTTTGTTATTGTTAAACATTTGTGAACAGGATCGGCGGATCAGGAATGGATCTCCGGAGCAAAGCCAGGGTACTTGTTGTTGTCATCAACATTATTGTCCTATATCATTTTTTAATGTTGTATTTGAGTCCGATTGCATTTTCTGTTTTGGCGAACACAGACGATTGATGGACATGTGACTGATCCAGCAAAGCTTCCCAAGTGGAACTACGATGGGTCGAGCACAGGCCAAGCTCCCGGCGAAGACAGCGAAGTGATCCTATAGTAAGTGCACGCCTGTCTGTCTGATCATTCAGTTCGCTGACTGAATTTGAGCCTACTAACTAACTAAGTTGATTTTAAATGCAATCCATCAGCCCCCAGGCAGTTTTCAGGGATCCATTTAGGAGGGGAAAGAACATCTTGGTGATGTGTGATGCTTATACCCCCGCTGGTGAACCCATCCCAACCAACAAGAGATATGAAGCAGCCAAAATTTTCAGCCATCCGGATGTAGTTGCTGAAGAGCCTTGGTACTAGTACTAAATCTACATTTTTTACTTCATAACAGCCATTAATACTACTACTTGTTTTGTTCCTAGCATCATCTCTTATTTTAATTTCCGAATAGGTATGGCATTGAGCAAGAGTACACTCTCTTACAAAAGAATGTCAAGTGGCCTCTCGGATGGCCCACGGGGGGCTATCCTGGACCTCAGGTGATTGATTGATTGTCTTCATCCTACTTACTGAATGAAGAATGAATGATATGCCGTTTTATAATTTGGCGGTGTTATGCTACTCTACTCTAATCTAATCTAATCTAATCTAAACTGTAGGGGCCATACTACTGCGGAGTTGGAGCAGACAAAGCTTTTGGACGTGATATTGTAGACTCGCATTACAAGGCTTGCCTTTATGCTGGGATCAACATCAGTGGTATCAACGGGGAAGTTATGCCCGGCCAGGTATCGTCTTGTCTTTTATCTTGAACGGACGCACACAATAGATCACCCGTTTGTTTTTTCTTGTGTATTTTCCTGTTTGTTCTCTACATTTATTTTAGCGCCGTGTAATGATGATGTGTATCAAATTTAGTGGGAATTCCAAGTTGGCCCTGCTGTTGGCATCTCAGCAGGCGACGAGGTGTGGATGGCTCGTTACATACTGGAGGTAACTAACATAACTGTATTGATTTCGACTCAGGTTTTTATATTGAATCTTAAATGCAAACTAAACAATCTCTTCTGGTCAACATTGACAGAGGATCACTGAAATTGCGGACGTTGTGTTGTCATTCGATCCCAAACCTATTGAGGTGAGCGTGAGGGAGGGGCTGTGTCTGTTGTGTTAATCCTTGTGGGTTTGAATTTGTGTTTTGGTTGACTGACATGACATGGTTTCAAACCCCATCGACTAGGGTGACTGGAATGGTGCTGGTGCTCACACTAACTACAGCACGAAGTCGATGAGGAACGACGGTGGGTACGAGGTAATAAAGAAGGCGATTGAGAAGCTGGGGCGGAGGCACAAGGAGCACATTGCTGCATACGGTGAGGGCAACGAGAGGAGGCTGACAGGGAAGCACGAGACTGCGGACATCAAGTCCTTCAAATGGGTAAGCAATCAAATCAATCTAGAAGAATGAATGATGTAGTATGTATGTATGTAATTTGGTGTTGCTGGCAGGGTGTTGCTAACCGCGGGGCATCTGTGCGCGTTGGTCGTGACACGGAGAGGGAAGGGAAGGGCTACTTCGAGGACAGGAGGCCGGCTTCCAACATGGACCCCTATGTCGTCACTTGTATGATTGCCGAGACTACCATCCTAGGGAAGAACTAGTTAGTGGTGATGATGGAATCCTTCCTTAATCACTACTTTGTTTCAAGGGCAGGTTAGGAAAGGGATTTGAATTTCAATTTGAATTTCAATTTGAATTTGGATTTGGATTTGGATTGTTTATTGCTGTCTGCCCTTCTAAGGACGGTTTGTGTTTGTTTATCTTTGTCTCTCTCTCTCTCTCTCGAACCTTAGCCTATGCTTGCTTGCTTGCGAATAAATACATTAATATTACTCTGCTGCTATTATTATTATTATTATTAGTAGTAGTAGTAGTAGTAGTAGTAGTAGTAGCAGTAGTAGTAGGAGTAGGAGTAGGTGTTTTTCAATCAACATTTATCAGCATCATCTTCCTTAATTAATGCGAAGCTAGTGACCACTGGCTGGGTCAATGAATGATATTCTTTGATCTTTCTTTCTGCACTGCACGCACTTGCCTGGAATCTTCGTCTGTAGAAGAAGAAAATATTCTAGTCTAATGTTGTGCGTCAGCCCCAGCTCGGCTCCGCCCGGCCCAGTCATGGGTCGTACCAACTAGTCTATTAATTATTTTGTTAGATAGATGCAGGTGGGTCCTCCTCCATGTGCAATTTGCATAAATTTCCACCATCAGAGAGCGCTGAACAATCCACTGCAATTAAAATGTAAGGATCCAACAATGCCGTTTGTGACACCCGTGTTTCTATCCAGACCGCCGGCTAGTTTCAATCGGTACCGAAGTTATATTAGAAATAATTTTAAAATCAAATATGCTAGCATAAGCGAATACGATAATTAAACAAATCTCCGATCATTGCTAACATTAAATATGTTCTTCAATATTCTTTTTTTAAGTAATAAGTAGATTGGAACTCTAAAAAGATGTTAAGAAGATGTTGCGAGACCCTTAGTCTCAAGTAGCCGGGTTCAAATCTTCTGTCCTAATTTGTCTGTGCCTTCTGTTCCATCCAATTCAATAAAGCCACCTATAACAATACTTTATATTTAATTAATTCATTAAAATCAACTTTTATTTAATCCATTCATTTAAATGACATTATACTCTTAAAAAGTTATAAGTTTGTGAGATCTTGTAGATCGTTATTTTTGACTATCTCTTGTTATCATTAAATATTTTTATTATTGTCTTTAGCTGTTTTTTGTTTGTTTGCTGTCTTCAAATTTTTTTTTTTGGTGTGTCGACATCTACCTCTTCTTCCTCGGGTACCATTTTATTCTCACTTAAAATTTCTATGTTTAGATGCTTTTTGTTTTTACTAATCAAATAAGACATATTGCAAATATTTTGAATAGAATGTGAAAAAATAAAAAATATCAAATTAATTACAATTTGAATTTCTATTACAAAAAATTATTACTTTTATAGTAATTTATATGATGATTATCCTATTGTTTAGAATTCTTCTTTTTTTTTTAAAAAAAAATTGATATTAAACTAATTATTTTTTTTAATAGGATTCTCTGTATCAGATGTCAAACAAATTTATTTGATGCAAATGAAGAAAAAAATGAGGTATTTTTAATTTTTAAATATTTATATTCAATGTATTTTTTATTTTGACTGAACTGCTTTACAATTTATTTTAAATTAAATTTAATATTTGTTGTAAGAAATTCATGTTATCAACAAAGAAAGTGATGATCTCATTATTATAGGTAGTTAAGGTTTTGATAATTTTAATTATCATGATTTGTATAAATTCATCTCAAATAGGTATGGAATTTGATAATAAAAATTTGGTTGGAGAATTTTATCATGCATATGCTAAACGGATTGGATATAGTGTTAAGAAAAAGCACATTTCGTAAAAAAATGGTAAACTAGTTGATAGAATATTTTGTTGTTGTACTAAAGGTAAACAAAAACCTGATAAGCTAGATGTTTATGTTAAAAATTCGTGTGCCGAAACTAGATTTGGATGTTTGGCAAAAATGAAAATACATTTGAATAAAAATGAAAAATACGAGATTGTGAAATTTGTTTCAGATCATAATCATTATTTATCTAATGCAGATCAAACTCACTTATTTAGATCATACAAAAAAATAACTGAAACTCTTGAAATTGAAAGAGCAGATAGTGTAGGTATTCCACATAAAGCATCTCATGATTATATGATCAAACAAGCTGGTGGTCGTGATGATTTAGGATTTACTTCACAAAATTATAGAATTTATTTGCGTTCAAAAGAACTAACGATATGAAAATTGAAGATATGTGGGGAGTACTATTTAGAAGAGGTGCATGTAAAATATCCAAAAATTTTTTCACTCAATTCAAGTTGATGAGGATGATTCAATAACTAATATATTTTGGACAGATGGAAGAATGAAAGCTGATTATGTTGTATTTGGAGATGTTATATCTTTTGATACAACATATGGGAAGAATTCTCAAAATCGTACTCTTGTATTGTGTGTTGGTGTGAATCACCACAAACAAACTGATATTTTTGGTTGCGCATTTTATACGATGAAACTACTGCAACATTTGAATGGTTATTTGATTTATTTTCTTATAGCATGTCAGGTAAAAAACCAACAACTATTTTGACCGATGAAGATGCAGCAATGACCAAAGCCTTATCTTCTAAATAGCCAGAGACACACAACATGTTATGTATTTTGCATATATATCAAAATGCTGCTAAGCATTTAGGTGGAATTTTTGATAAATTTAAAGATTTTGCACATTATTTTAGTAAGTGTGTGTATGATTTTGAAGAAGAAGATGATTTTTTAATTGAATGGAATAACATATTTGAAAAATATAATCTTTCAGAATAATGATTGGTTAGAAAGATTATTCAATAAAAAAGAAAAATGGGCATTGGTTTATAGTCGTCAATATTTTTGTGCTGACATCACTACGACACAAAGAAGCGAAAGTATGAATAGCGTGGTTAAAAGGTACGTCAATTACAAAAATAGCTTACGTCAATTCTTTGAATATTTTCAAAATTTGCTTGATAATCCTCATTATAAGGAGTTGAAATATGATTTTAGAGCAAATATAAGTACTCCAGCATTATCTTTTCCTACTCAATTGTTAAATATGCAGCAGATATCTATACTCCTGAAGTATTTAAATTATTTCAAAAAGAATTATGCAAAGCTTATCATTGTAGTTTTAATGTTTTTAGTGTAACTGAAGGTGTTTTAATTTATCATATTACATCTTTTGGAAAATAAAAATATCATGTTGTCAACTATGACTCTTTGAATAGCACAATACATTGTACTTGTAGAAATTTTGAATTTGTGGAATACTGTATTCTCATTCTTTGAAAGTTTTTACTATACATAATATTATTAAAATTACAGATTCATATATATTAAGACGATGGACTAGAAAAGAAACATATGAAATAGTAAGAGATGGGATTCAAGGAAATGTTTGAAATAGTTAATGAAAAGTTGCAAAGTATGAATATTTTTTCTAATAACTCTATGAATATTTTTTCCGGTAACTTTAGCTTACAGAAATTGAAGGAAAAAGAAAAGGAAAAGAAAAAGAATTCATCTACAACTGAGGAAACCAGAGTAAAATTAATGGAATAAAAGTTAAAACAAAAGTTGTTTCAGAAAAACAGATTTAAAAGTGGACTATAAAAAGCTTCCGGAAAGAAGAGAAAGCCATCCATCCAAAGCGCAAGTGCAACAAAATATATATTCATTTTTTATATTTCGATCACTTCACAAGTATAAATTTTATATTTTTGTGATATTTAATTTATAATTTTATTATTGAATTAAATACTATTTTTTTTTTCAGTCTGCAAACAAAATGGTTTATCGAATACAAGGATCTGAAATATTTCGTCAAAATCATCAACCGCAACAGGTTAGTTTACATTGTATTTGGATAAACATATTTGTAATACTTTAATTTTTATTATATTATAAATTTTATATTACAATATCAAAACTATGTGCAAAATCAAATAAATCAAATTTGGTCATTTGATTTTTCCGACAGACTACAATATCCGGTTAAATTCGCTGAATTGCTTCAGGTATTTATTTATTATTATTTATTTGTAATATATATCATGTTAGTAGATTTTATTATATTAATTTTTACTTTTTTTAATATAAATATTTAGGTTCAAACATATCAACCTTCAAACCACTTAAACAGCGAAGACCTGGTGCCATTTAAATAACTATTTTATTTTTATAATGACATTTGATTTTTCTATTTCATATTTTGATTATACTGTACACAAGTGCATGATCTAAAACATATTTAAAATTTTTATATTTGAATTATTTTTCTATTTGTTTTTTATTTTTTCTATCATATAGTATTTTCTTTTGAGTGAAATTAATTATTTAATTTGACTTGATTTTGATGATATTTTCTTCACGAATAAATAATAAAGTATAACATTTGTAACAAATGTCCTACCAATTTTAAAAAAAATATAAGAAAAAAATATTATATGTTCTACAATTTTTTAAAAATTTTGAAAAAAATAATATTGTGTTTCATGTATATTTTCTTTTGTAAAACAGAGATTTTATTTTAATTTTACAATTCTATATCAACAAAATACTAGGTTTTAAAATAAGGGTATAATAGTCATATAAATGAATGGATGAAATAAAGCCGGATTTTAGTAGATTAATTAAATAAATAGTTGTTGAGCAAGAAAAAAAACCAATGTGTAGGGTTTTTAAGAATGAGCCTATTAAATTGGGCTAAGAATTGGTGTAGAGTCTAATGGGCCTGTTAGTAGTAGTGAGACCTTAAAAAAGGGTCCAAATATAAGTCCAAGCGCTACTAAGAGAAATGTTTCCTCGGGAGAAAATTTTGATTAAGAGGCTGGGTGACATACAGGTCGGGCAGAAGAAAGTTGGACGAAGAAGGGAAAACAATATGTGCTCAGGTCGGGTGACATAAGGTCAGATACGGAGGTCGGACAAGATAAGGTCGGGCACGGAGGTTGGACGAGATAAGGTCAGGTGAAGAAAGATGAGACGGCAGACACGAAGTCGGACGAGATAAGGTCGGGCGAAGGAAGATGAGATGGCAGACACGGAGGTCGGACAAGATAAGGTCAGACATAGAGGTCGGGCAACATAAGGTCGGGCACGGAAGTCGGACGAGATAAGGTCGGGCGAAGGAAGATGAGATGGCAGACACGGAGGTCGGACAAGATAAGGTCAGACACGGAGGTCGGGCAAGATAAGGTCGGACACGGAGGTAGGACGAGATAAGGTCGGGCGAA